ATGGTGATGCCATGGTGATCCCATGGCAATCTTGTGGTGATCCTATGGCAATCCCATGGCAATCCCATGGCGACCCCATGGCCATCCCCATCCTCCACGGTGCCCAGGTACACAGGAACCAGTCCCACATCCTGGGGTTTGTGAAATTCCCACCCCTTGTCCTGCTCTGAGGTTGAAGGGGGGTCTGGAGCAGGGGTGAGGGGTGTGACTGCAGTGCCTTAGGGGGGCCCTGTTCCCATTTCCCTGCTCCAGGGGGGCCAGCACGGCCCAGCCTGGCCCAGCACAGCCCATCCCAGGTAGGGAGGGGCTGGCACAGACCCCCAGCACTCCCCTGGCATTTCCCTTTCTGGATCCCTTTGCCTTTTCCTGTGGGGTGGCTCCTGTGGGAGCTCTGCAGGGTTGATCCCCCTTCCCCATGTCCTGTGGGGTCATGGATTGCCCTGGGATGCTGTGGACTGCACTGGGGTGCTGTGGGCTACAGGGCAGAGGAGGTGGGGGATCTGTAAAACAAAGCCCTGGGGCAAATGTCTCTGTGAATAAAGGCCGTGTCATAAATAGCTTTTATTATTATTATTATTAATAATGTTATTATTATGGTTTCTGGTGCTGCAGTGTTTGGTGTGAGCTTTTCCAGGGGTCTCATGTGCATTGCCTAGCAGAGTATCTTCTTCCCAAATCTCTGATTTTCTCATTCCCAGAGGCACTCAGGCAGCTGTGCCACTTTCAAACACATTGAAATCAGAGTGTGTGCAAAGGCACATCCTCCCTCTGTGCCATGCTGTCGTGCCAGGGTGGTGTTTGTCTGTAAATGTCTCACATGGAAGTGGCAGGAGAGAAGTGAGAGAGGCAGATTTAACTGTACACAACCATGAAAACCCCCCTGGGTCAGAGTCCACACTTGGGATCCTGCTGATGAGATAAGAGACTCTGAAAAAACAACTGAGCAACCAAATCTGAGCTGCCCTGCTGCCACTGGGGGCCACAGGGAGTTCAGCTCTTCCTCTGAGGGAGGCCAACGTGCAAAGGAGATGCTGGAGCTCTGCAGCAGCACCCAAACCCCCCACAGCAATAAATGTGTGTCCACTGCTCAGGCCTGCACAAGGAGTGTCGTGGTCCCGTTTCTTCTGAGGTCCCTGAGAGGTGCCAGGAGATGCTGCAGTGTCCCAGACATCTTTGATGGAAAATCCTTTCCTTAGGACTGTTCCTCCTGAGAAGCCGAGAGGCCTCAGGAACAAAATGTAACCAATGGTTATCTGCTGCTGTGGAATGCAACAGGTGCATCTGGGATTGGTCTCATGTGGTTGTTTCTAATTAATGGCCAATCACAGCCCAGCTGGCTCAGACAGAGACCTGAGCCACAAACCTTTGTTATCATTCCTTCCTATTCTATTCTAAGCCAGCCTTCTGATGAAATCCTTTCTTCTATTCTTTTAGTCTAGTTTTAATATAATATATATCATAAAATAATAAATCAAGCCTTCTGAAACATGGAGTCAGATCCTCATCTCTTCCCTCATCCAAGAGCCCCTGTGAGCACGGGCACAGGGCAGCAGCCTGGGGGGATGCAGGAGCTGCCCAGGGGGATTGCAGCAGTTCAGGGCAGGGTCTGGGCTCTGCAGGAGGGAGATTCCCCCTGGAGCAGCAGCTGCTGTGCCAGATAACCCAGAAGGGGTGTGATGGTGTTCACAGGGCTCTGAGGATGAGGGGAGAGGATCTGACTCCATGTTTCAGAAGGCTGATTTATTATTTTATGATATATATTATATTAAAACTATACTAAAAGAATGGAAGAAAGGATTTCATCAGAAGGCTGGGTAAGAATAGAAAAGGAAAGAATAACAAAGGTTTGTGTCCGGGACAGAGAGTCTGAGCCAGCTGGGCTGTGATTGGCCATTAATTAGAAACAACCACATGAGGCCAATCCCAGATGCACCTGTTGCATTCCACAGCAGCAGATAACCATTGGTTACATTTTGTCCCTGAGGCCTCTCAGCTTCTCAGGAGGAACAGTCCTAAGGAAAGGATTTTCCATCAAAGATGGCTGTGACAAGGGGAGGAGAGGATCAGACTGAGCACAGGGCCACGGGAGGATTTTCTAATTAATCTTCCAGACTAATTGAGAGGATGGGAGGGATGTGACAAGGGCTGGGTCATTCCTGCTCTGACCCCTCAGGAAGGTTCAGCCTCAGCCTCTGGGGGCCTTTGCTTCACTGTCCCTCTGGATCAGCCCAGTCTTGGGGTGTTTGGGATGTTCTGCACCAGACAGAGCCTTTGGGAATCTCAGCTCTGGAAGAGGAGATCATTTCCCCCAGGGGAGCTGGGCAGCACCTCCTGACCCTGAGGAAAAGTCTGCCTCTAACCACAAAGCAAACACAGCTCCAAATCTCCCTGTCAGCACCTCCACCCCCATCCTCAGCTGCCTCTGGCTCCATCAGCCCTCCCAGACGGGCAAATCCTGCAGAGATTTCTGCACAAGCATCTCAGGACTTCGTGTTCCACCTCTTCCCAGGCAGCAGAGAACACCAGGAGGTGGCAGGAGAAGGGGAGGTGCCACCAAACCTGGGGAAATCAGAGGGGTGGAACTTTCCAGAAGCAGCTGGACATTGCCGGTCCCTGTGGCTCATCCCAGAAGGGCAACCCTGGAGCTGGGCAGGGTGGCAGAGCCCAGGGGACACTGCAGGGCCACCAGCCTGGGGGTGCTGCTGCTCTGGGGACAGCCAGGACACCCTGCAGTGCCTGGCACAAGGAAAGAGCTCCTGGAGCATCTTCCCTGGAGCTTTGGGAAGAATCATTCTTTCTGGTTAGTGTTTTAATGAGAATTTTTCTCCTGATTGAGTTTGACTTCAAAAACTAAACAGTAAGGCATCTCAAAGCATCAGTGAGTAACTACTGTACCCTTAATTTCGGAGTCAAGAGACTTCTATTCTAAATAACCAAAACAATGTAACTCCTGACCTGTACTTTGTAAAGATTTAAACTCAGCATTTTTGGAAAACCCAGCCATCCAGGAAGAATACATGGCTTGCAAATAACTCCTTTTTCCTGGAGAAGGTTACAAAATGATGCATAGATATCAAGCTTTCACTTATAGCAAGCAATACACAATAGCTCATACAGAACATGACCTTATTCCATTTATATGGGCAGAATTTCAAGTCTAATACAGACCTACATGTCCAAAGAGGAGCATAAATGAATCTATTAAGTACAAATTCCTGTTGTGCACACAATATGTAGGGGTGGTTGAGCATCATTTGGGCTTTGGGGGCCTGGAGGAGGGAGGGAAAGGATCTCCCCCCTTCTCTGCAGCACCTGTGACTGCCAGCCCTGACTCTGGGACTCCTGACAGGCCAAAGTCCATCAAAACCAAGCAGAAATGGTCCAAAAGTTGCTTTCAGCACCTGAACTTGTGCAGGCCTCTGCAAGCTCCAGCATTACCTGCACAGCTGGGCAGGGTGGCCCAGCCCAAGGGACACTGCAGGGCCACCAGCCTGGGGACAGCCAGGACACCCTGGAGAGCTCCAATCTGTGTGTGGCTGCTGGGATGAGCCCTGGATTCACCCCTGTTTGTCCCCTTGGGAATGTGTCCCTTGGCTGGGATGGCTTCAGGGTCATGGTGTGGCACTCCTGGATTGTCCCCACAGTGTCACAGAACAGGCCCCTCTGGGACAGGGACTTGAGAAGGGAAATGAGATGAAGTTCTCAAAAGGAACCAACACAAAAATAGGGATTTGAAAACAGGAACCAGAGCCACCTTCTGTTGTTTGCCTGCAACTTCTCCCATCATTTGCTCTGCAGCAGCATCTTCCCCTCCCAGTGCAGCCCTTGGCCTGTCCATGTGGCCACAGGGCACAGGAACAGCAGCCAAGGCCCTGATGGACACCAGGAGAGGCTCAGGGGGGCTCTTCCAGTTTGCACTGAGCTCCACAGCCCCCAGCCCTGGCACTGCCCCAGCCCTGGCACTGCCCCCTGCCCTGGCACTGCCCCCTGCCCTGGCACTGTCCCTGCCCTGGCACTGCCCCCTGCCCTGGCACTGCCCCCAGCCCTGGCACTGCCCCCAGCCCTGGCACTGTCCCCAGCCCTGGCACTGCCCCCAGCCCAGTGTCACCACCCTCACCTTGCCCTGCTGCCCAGCAGGGGCTCAGGCCATGGGGATGTTTCATTCCAGACCCTTCCCCTCCTGCCCTGGGCTCCATCCCTGCTCCATCCCTCACTGGCCTGGGGATGTTTCTGCAGGAGGTTTCATCCTGCAGGAGGTTTCTGCCTTTCCCTGCTGCCCTGGCAGCACTCAGAGCCCAAAGGATTGATTGGGATCCCAAAGGATTTGAGAGCCCAAAGGATTCCCTGGACAGAGGCTTCCCTTCTCCATGTGGTGTTCATTGTCCCTGCACAAGGCAGGGAAACTGAGGCACAGACACGGAGGCCTTATGCTGCAGTTCACTGCCCCCCGGCTACCAGAGGGGACAGGTTCTGCTGGCCCTGCCCTGCCTGGCCCTGCAGCTGAGGCAGGAGGAGCCTGGCTGATCCCAGGGCCCAGCTGGGGCACTTTAACCTCAAACAGGTTTCACCTGGAGCAGGCAGTGTGGGGGCAGGTCCAGAACCACCCCTGCAGCTCCTCCAGGGTGTGTTTATAAGCCCACACCCCCCTCACCCCAGGGGCTTTCTCTCTCTTCCTTTTTTTTTTTAATTCTTTTTTTTTTTTAATTCCTTTTTTTTTTTTTCTTTTTTTGTTTGGTTGGTTGGTTGGTTTTTTCGTTTTTTTCTCTCTTTTTTTTTTTTTTTTTTTTTTTGCCTTTTTTTTTTGGGAGCTTTTGGGGTATTTTGGAGTTGCTGCCCTGGGGTGTTTGGGGTGCTCTGCTAGAGCTTAGAATTTCCTCCCATTGCTACCAAGCAGGTAAGGACACACAACCATCAACCACCCCCTCCTGCAGTGGCCCTGCCTGGGCTGGCTGAGCTGTCCCAGCGCTGTCCTTGTGTGTCACACCCCAGGTGAAGGGACAATGTCCTCACGTGGCCCTGGAGTGCCCCTGGGGCTCGATTCCCAGCCCAGCTGCAGCCCCCCGGGGCCTGCACCGAGGAATTCCCCCCTGGCACGGCCTCTCTGTCCCCCCTGGAGCTGCTCCCTCGCCTTGCTTGGCCAGGAGGAGCCCGTGGAGAGCTGCCCCAGGTACGAGCAGGGCTGAGCCTGGCCTGGGACAAGGGACATGGCTGGGGTGTGCTTGATACAGCCTGGGGGGCTCCCGAGGCTGGGCTGGGGCTGTGCCCTGTGCCAGGGCAAGGCTGGGGGGCACGGGCTGGAGTCAATGCCCATACTCAGGGTAAGGATGGTGGGCATGGGCTGGGGCTGTTCATTGTACCCAGGGCAAGGCTGGGGCTGTCCCCCGTGCCCAGGGCAAGGCTGGAGTCAATGCCCATACTCAGGGTAAGGATGGTGGGCATGGGCTGGGGCTGTTCCCCGTGCCCAGGGCAGGGCTGGGGCTGTTCCCTGTGCCCAGGGCAAGGCTGGAGTCAATGCCCATACTCAGGGTAAGGATGGTGGGCACGGGCTGGGGCTGTTCCCCTGTGCCCAGGGCAAGGCTGGGGCTGTTCCCCATGCCCAGGACAAGGCTGGGGGCACGGGCTGAAGTCATTCCCCGTAACCTGATTCCCAGGCTGGGGCTGTTCCCTGTACCCTGGGCAAGGCTGGAGTAATTCCCCATGCCCAGGGCAAGGTTGGTGGGCTCCCTGGACCCAGGGCAAGGCTGGTGGGCATGGGCTGGGGCTGTTCCCCATGCCCAGGGCAAGGCTGGAGTCATTTCCCATACCCTGGGCAAGGTTGGTGGGCACGGGCTGGGGCTGTTCCCCGTGCCCAGGGCAGGGCTGGGGCTGTCCCTGGTGTCTCTGCTGTCCCAGCACGGGGGCCTGGGCAGCAGCTGAGCCCGGTGTCCCCAGCAGCTCCTGCGAGCTGGGGGTGGCGCTGCTGGAGCGCTCCTGCCCGGGCCCCGACCCGCAGCTGCTGCGCAGGATCGTGGCGCAGGTGGAGTTCTACCTGTCCGATGAGAACCTGGCCAGGGACGCCTTCCTGCTCAAACACGTGCAGAAGAACAAGATGGGCTTTGTCAGCATCAAACTGCTGACATCCTTCAAGAAGGTGGGTGCTGGGGGTGCAGGCTGCCTCCTGTGGGGTGTGCGAGGAGCTCTGGGTGTGTCCTGGGGCTGCCCTCAGTGCCCAGGGGAGCAGGGAAAGCTCCTCAGATCACCCCCAGGGTTGGATTCACCTCTTCACTCTTTGGAAGTGATCATCCCTTAACCAGAAACACTCAGGGAAGTGCTGGTGGTGTGGCTTAGGGGGAAGCTGTGGCTCCTTGCCGGATCCTGGGGGATGCTGGGGCTGTCTGCAGATCCCAGAGCTGCTCACACAGAAGTGCAGGATGTTCCCTGTGCTCTGGGCACGGCTGGGGCTGTACAGGATGTTCCCTGTGCTCTGGGCAGGGCTGGTGGGCACGGCTGGGGCTGTTCCCCGTGCCCAGGGCAGGGCTGGGGCTGTTCCCCGTGCCCAGGGCAGGGCTGGTGCTGTCCCCTGGTGTCTCAGCTGCTCTGCTCACACAGAATATTGCCCTGGGGGATGTTGTATGGGGTCACAGCCGGCCCGGAGCAGGGTTTAGGGTGCTCCCTGTCTCTGTGGGGGATGCAGGGTGATGGGGATTCCACCCTTTCAGTGCCCAGGGGAGCAGGGAAAGCGCCTCAAATCACCCCCAGGGTTGGATTCACCTCTTCTACCTATGGACTGCTTTGGAAGGGATCACTCCTTAACCAAAAGAAATCCAGGGAAATGCTGGTGTGGCTTAGGGGGAAGCTGTGGCTCCTTGCCAGAGCCTGGGGGACGCTGGGGCTGCCTGCAGATCCCAGAGCTGCTCACACACACGGGGGACATTGTGACAGCGGGGGCCACAGCCTGCCTGGAGGGGGGTTCGGGTGCTCCCTGTCTCTGAGGGGGATGCAGGGTGACGGGGATCCCGCCCCCTCTGTGCCCAGGTGAAATACCTGACCCGGGACTGGCGCCTCACCCTCTACGCCCTCAAGTTCTCGGCGCTGCTGGAGGTGAACAAGGAGGGCACCAAAGTCCGGCGGCGCCTCCCCATCCCCGAGCACCTGCTGAGCGTCCCCCCGAGCAAGCTGCTGCTGGCCTGGGAGCTGCAGCCGCGGGAGCAGGACCTGCCCCTGCAGAAAAACTTCCTGGACACCATCACCAGGATGTTCAGCCCCTTCGGAGCCATCGCCTCCATCCGCCTGCTGCGGCCGGGCCGCAAGCTGCCCTCGGACGTGCGCAGGTACTCGGCGAGGTTCCCGGAGCTGCTGAGCCGCTGCTGTGCCCTGGTGGAGTACGAGAGCCTGGAGAGCGCCCGCAGCGCCGCCGACAGCCTCGGGCACCGCGACTGGCACGGCAGCATCAGGGTGGTGCGGCTCTGCGGGAAGGGAGGAAGGAAGAAATTCAGCGAGGAGAGAGCGCCTTGGAAGGCGTCGCCGGCGGCTCTGAGCTTCCCCCGCAGCCCCAGGGAGGGTTCCCTGCCCTGCAGCGCTCCCGAGCCCGATGATGCTGCAGGGTCGCTGTCCTTCCTCCTGGACCAGGAGCCGCTGGCACCGACCTGGCCGGGCAGCGATTTCAGAGATCCCAGCGCCTTCCCCGGCTCCTTCCTCCCTCCGCTCGGGGCGGGCACCGAGAGCCGCCCGAGGGCTGCGCCGGGGTCCTGGACACCTTGGGGCAGCGGCCTCTGTCCCAAAGGTGCCCCCGGTGATGCCCAGGGGGTCTCCGAGCCCCTCGGCCTTTGGGACGGGGTCCTGGCCCTGCCCCGCAGCCCCGAGAGCTTCAGGAGCAGCTTCGGGAGAGAAGAGCTCGTCCTGCGGCGCTGAGAATTCTTCAATTCAGGGCTAGGGGTGCTCATGGTCTTTTTTTTTCCCCTTCTTCTTTCGAGAGGAAGGCTTTCCTATGGTCCTGCGAGCTGTGGGCAGTGGCAGAGCAGCTGAGCCAGGGGCCAGAAGTTTTGGGGCACGGGCGATGCTCGAGGCAGACGCTGAGCAGCAGCAGGAGCTGTGCTGTGCTCATGCCAGTGAGACTGTGCTTGCTCAGGGCCCAGAGAGCTGGGTTTGGGGTCCAGGTTTTGGATGAGAAATGGACAATAAAGAGAGATGAAGTTTCCAGGCACTCCCTGGTTGATGCTGTGATTTTTGGGGGGGTTTTTTTGTTATTGTTTGTTGGGTTTTGTTGTTTTCTTTTTTTGTTTTGTTTTTTTGTTGGTGTTTTGGTTTTTTTGGGTTTTTTTTGTTGTTTGGTTGGTTTTGGTTTTTTTGGGTTTTTTTTTCCCCTTATCTTTCCAGGCCTTGCTGCTGCCTGAGGTGCAGCCAGACAAGGGAAGGAGGGTCCCTGCCTGCAGCTCCCTCCCTTGCTGTCCTTGGGGTGGTGGGGACACTGAGGGGTGCCCAGGTTGGCTGAGCCTGGGACAAGAGTGAAGGCTGTGGTGGCAGGGCCGTGGTTCCTCCTGGCTGTTGGCTGCTCAAGGCTCTCTGGCATCTCTCAGGATGGAATATGGGGGCTCCCTGTGTCCCTCCTGCTCCCACAGCCTCCCCAGCTACTCTGGGAAAGGGTTTAGGGAGGCTACAGGTGCCTCTCAGGGTGTGCCAGAGCTGGGATGGGGTGGGGTGAGTCCCACACCTGCTCGTGTGAGGAGAGCTTTGAGCAGCCCCTGCAGTCAGGAGCCTCTGGGATGAGGATGAGGAGGATGGAAAACAAAGCAGATTTGGGGTCTGGTTCTCACCCAGCCAGGGCCCTGGCACTGAGGAGTTGTTCTACAGGCAGTGAGGAGAATTCTCTGGATCAGGAATTCCTTGTCCTTGTGGTGAATTTCATCCCCCCAGACACCAGCTGGGGAATGGCCTTGCTGGGGCAAGCAGGTCTGGGAAATTCGAGAGAATTGCTTGTCACGAGTGCTCAGGGAGCCACCAGGAAAGGAAAGATTCCATCCTAAACCTGCTGGGTTAGAATGGGGAACTGGGATGGTCCTGACCCCAGTGCTCCTGAAATGGTTGAGTTTTTTAATGCTGTCAGTGTGAGGACAGAGATGGACACCAGAGCTGCTTCCCAAGACTTGGAGAGAGGAAATGTTCTGGTGCTCAGCCGAGTTCCCTGGGAATCTTCAAGGGGCTTCTTTGTGACCCTCTGGAGCAGGTAATTCCCAGGTCTGGAGGGCAGTCCCAGTGCCCAGCCCCTCTTCCCTTCCCACTGTGGCAGGGCACAACCACCCCCTCCCCGCTCCCCCAGCACAGCACTCCAGATCCTGGTGCTTTTCCATAAAAATATCCTTTTTATTGGCCTCTCCCTCTGTGCTCCCTCAGCGCCTGCAGCCAGGTTGGATCTTCGGGGCCTTGGAGCCCCCACAGACCTCAGGCTTCTCCCCCTGCCAGAGAGCAGCCATGAGAGCCCCAGCAGCAATGGGGACATGTCCCCAAGCCCTGCTGTCCCCACAGAGCCCCGCCTCACCTGGTAGAGGTGACAAACCAGCCCCAGCAGCGAGGCCTCTGCCTGTGCCTGCAGCTCGTCCGTGTGCTTCTGCGGGGGACAAGGGCTGCTCAGAGGGGTCCCCAGGGTGTCCCAGCCCCACCTGGCACCCCGTGCCCCCTGCCATACCCCGTTGATGGTGATCCAGGGCACGTACTGGTGTGGAGGGTCCAGTGCCTCGGTCAGCTGGGCGTTGTGGTGCATCAGGGCCACCCCCGTGTCCCCCTGCACGCAGGCGCTGATGCGGCCGCTGTCCAGCTCTGGGGCGTAGATCTGCAGGCACTGCCGGGCACAGGGGACACTCAGGGGGACAGGGACATCCCCCGTGAGGGGCAGTGAGGGGCGGGGAGGGGGACGTACGGCCTCCAGGTTCTTGGTGACGGAGCTGCCCGACTCCAGGCAGAAGATGACGGGGAAGTAGGTGCTGAAGTTCTTGGCCTCGTGCATCAGACAGGCCTAGGGGGACAGGGCGGGCGGTGAGGGGCTGCTGGAGCCCCCCGTGCCAGCCCCGTGGGAACGGGCACCGTCACCTCCATCATGTTGCCCAAGCATTCCTCGGGGCCGTGCTGGCACTCGAAGTCCAACTTGCCGCTGACGTTCCTCTCCTGCGGGACCGAGTGCGATGAGCGGGGCCGGCGGCACCGCCGGGGCGAGCGCCGGCAGCGCCGGCTCCTACCTGGGCGTTGCCGTAGGGCACCAGGGTGATGCTCAGCATCTCCTCGGGCAGCAGCAGCCAGGTGGGGAAGAGCCTCAGCACCAGGAACTCGCGGCACGCCGGGCACAGGCTCTCGTAGTACAGGCTCAGCTCCACGGGCGCAGCCGCGGGCTGCGGGAGGCTCGGGCAGCGGCTCTGCACCTGCACACGGGAGGGTTTTGGGGTGCACGGGGGGGTATGGATGCTGCACCCCCATTCTAGTATCTGTAGGGATGGGGGGAAGCTCCGGGATGCAGGGAAGAAGGGGGGGAGATGGGGGTGTGCAGGACTAGAGGGAAGTGAAAGTGGTCGGGAGTTTTCGGGGCTTTCCACCAGAACTTCCCCAAAATATTTCAGGGGAAAATAAATTTAGAGCAGGATGTGCCTGGGTGGGTGGGGGTATGGCCCAGCACCCAGTGCCAGGGGGAAGCTGCAGCCTCGTGGGGCTCACAGGGCGCTGTCACCGCCCGGTTCTGTTTGGGGCAGAATAAGCCAAAAAGCGGTTTTATGCTTAAAAAGCAGAAGTGCCAAGGGCAGCTGGGGAGGGGCCGCGGGCAGGGTCCGGCTGGACCAGAGCCGTTCCCCGGGGATCTGGGGAATGCCGTGGTGCCCGTGTGGCACCGGAGGCTCTGAGCATCGGATGTGACAGCCCGTGCCTCAGCGACACTCGCTCCAGGCATTGCTGCCCCAACCCTGTCCCCGCGTCCCGGTGCCCCTGCCCTTGTCCCCAGCCCCGGCAGCAGCAGCTCTGACCTGGCAGGCGACGGCGGTGTCCCGGGAGCTGCACCAGCGGTGGGCAGGGTGATCACAGCCGGGGGCCGCGCCGAGCCCTGGGGCCACCAGGGCCACCAGCACAGCCAGCGCCACCGCGGGGGCCATCAGGACGCCGGGGTGACGCGGAAATGAGCCCGTCCCAGCGGGGACTTTTAAAGCGGGGCTGTGCCCGCCCTCCGGCCCTTCCTGCCCTTCCTGCCGCCCCGGCCGCCGCCTCCCGTGACGCCGCCGCCCCACGTGGGCTCCGCCGCCGCTCCCGCTGCCCCGAGCTGGGACTCGGCTCCCCGGGGGTTCGGGCAGTGAAACCCGGCCCGGAGCAGCCACGCGTGGAGCTCCCCGAGCCGCAAGCGGGGCTGGGGGCCGGTACAGCCCGCGGTGGGTGCGGGACCGGGATGCAGCCCAAGGCATCCCGAGTTCAATCACGGGAACCTCGTGGTTCCCCCGGTTTGTAGCCGCTGTTTCCGGCCCTTTCTCAGCTCTCGTCCCCACGTGTCCCAGCCCTACAAACCCGAGGAGCACAATCCTGGCGCGATGGGTCACATCCTGCACCCAGCCCAGGAACTGGGGCACGGCCCCACCGCTCTCCTGCCCCCGCACAACCTCCCACAGCAATCCAGCAGCCTGCTTCATTAACTCTGTTTATTTTGTTTATTTCTTTCCTTTTTTTTTTTTTTGGTTGTTTTTTGTGGGTTTTTTCGAAGTACCGTACAAAAAAAAAAATCCTCTTACAGTAACAAATACTGGGTTTACATTAGTAAACATCAACAGAAAGAGCAGAGAGCACTACTGCTGGTAACGGACAGCTCGGGGGGGGCAGGTTATTCTTTATTGCATATACCTAGAAACTAAAACCTCACGCAGCCACCACGTCCTCTCCGAGCACAAAGCCTCCACTGGCACCTTGGGGGTTACACGGGGGAGCCCCCCCAGAGCAGGGACACGGAGGGACGAGCCCCAAACTGCGCCCCGGGGAGCAGGGACAGCCATGTGGCACCCACGGGACGCGGGCGTGCGGCTCGGCCGGGGGACGTGGGCGTCACAAGCAGCAAAGCACAGCCTCAAAACGCGGCCGGGTTCAGAACGAGCCAAAGCAGCAAAGGACAAATCACAACGAGCTTTTTATGCTGGGGGAGCGCCCAGCCCGGGGAGAGCAGGGGAAAGCTGCTGTTCAAGGAGCTGAGTGAAGCACCGTCAGGGAAAGGCAGCCCTGGGGAAGGGCATCTTCCTCCTCGTCGTACACAGGACCCTGGGAGCAGTGCCCTGTCAAGGACAGGCTGCCAGCAGGCAGGGAAGGCAGTGCTGCAAGAGGGGTGACTGTGACCCCCCCTTGGGCTGTGGCTGGACAGCAAGAAGGGACAGCACAGGGAGAACAACAGAAATTCAGCCAAAAGGAGAAAAACACAGGATAAAGTGAAGCTGGAATTTCCCTGGGCAGCAAAGCCAGGTGAGCACCAAGCGAGTGTTGACAGGTGACAGCTTCAAGCTGAGACTCTTCCAGATGCTCAGCAGGTCCTGGCATGAGCAGGGAGCAATCCCCCCAGGCAGGACTGGCCCCAAGCTCACCTTTAGGGGTGGTGGTGGAGGAGCCCATGGGATGAGGGGCTGAGGATCCCATCTGCCTGCAGCCTGTCCTGTGATCTGGGGATGTGCTGGAAGTGCAGGGACAAGCACAGGACCAGCAGAGTCCCCAGGCTGAAAGGGTGTGGAACACTATCAAAGCTTTGGAGTGTTGGTGCAGCCCCCTGGTCACTCTGCAGGCCCCAGGAGGCCTCAGGATAGAGCTGTGAGGGCTGAGCCTCCCTGCCCCAGTCCCACGTGCCCTCATCTCTCACGTGCCCGAGTCCAAATTATTCCCTTACTCATCCCTGGCAGCTTTTCCCAAGTGATCCCCAAAGCCAACCACAGCCTCCCCTGACCCACTGCCTGCACCTGAGCACCAAACACTGACAAACCAGACCCAAAAACCAGGGCCCACGGCCTGGAGAGAACATGCAGAACACAGAATGGGGCTGTACAGTTGAGCAGAGAGCTGCCACAAGCAACAGGAATGGGATGTTTGCTCCAGCAGCCCCAGCTCCAGAAGGATCTGGGGACAAGCCCAGAGCAAGGCAAAGCAGCAGAGCTGGCCAGGGAGGGAGGGACAGTGCAGTCCCCAACGCAGGTGGCACATCAAGGACAGGATGCAGGCACAGCATGAGCACAGAGCACCCCATGGGTCTAGCAGAACCCAAGCTGCAACGAGAAACAGAAGTGCCAGAGTCCATGGCATCCACCTGCCTGTCCCAAGGAGGAGCCTCAGAGAGGGAACCAGCCACTCTGGCAAATCAAGAGGATCAAGAATACTCTCCTCCAGCCAGGCAGCTGAGATAACCCAGGAAAGCAAATGCCACCATGGCTTCAACTCTCAGCTCAGCTTTTAAAGCTCTTCCAGACCCACCTGGGCTGCCCTGGGGCCCTCTGAGCTCAGACACAGTACCCTACCTGCAGCAGGGTGGGCAGCCCTGCCCCGGCCCCATACAGTACCCATGATTTAAGTGCTTTGCATACATAGTTCACCATCATGCAGATACATTTCAGCATGCCCTGGGCCCCCCAGATGTGTCCTCCTGCAGCAGAGAGGTCCTTCATTCCAGGTAGGGCTTGTAGTGTGCGTTGGACTCCAGCCCTCTCCTGCTTCAGCTGCAGGGCCCAGGGCTGTGGCAGCCTGGCAGCTGCTGCCCACGCTGGGGGTGGCACTGGGGGCTCAGCAAACACCAGCACCAGGGGAGCAGCTGCTCACAAAAAGAACCATATTTACAGAGCTACAGTCAGCTTCAATGGGTTACGTGTGCAGAGTCACCGAGACCGGCCGGAAACAACGAGCTGTGCATGCCACAGATCCTGCCAGGAAAACAAGGGTACCAACACGGATTTCACAGCTTCGTTGGCACAACTAAGGTGGGAGATTCATGGCTAAGCAGATCCTCCCAGCCCAGGCAGCAACACTCCAGAGGTGGTTATGACAAGAGGGAATGGTGGCCAGGTGGGGCACAGCACGGAGAGAAGATCTCAGCCAGGGAGCCCCACTGAGGATGAGGTTTCTCCTTCCTAAATGTGTCTCTGCATGCAAGAGCAGCACCCCTCGTACCAGACACCACCACAGCCTGCAGGGCCACTCAGAGAAGTGAGAGTGAAGGATGCACACACTCAGTGGAGCCTCCTCCTCCTCTGCCTCCTCGGGTGTCCAGGCAGGGAACCCCTCGGTCACAGCACCGAGGAATCAAGAACCAAAGCTCTACAGTGATGCGTAGCGGGGCGACCTGCCAGCAAGAAGGGGATGTGACCTGCTTGTCAGGGAAGGGGAGGGGGCTGTGCTCATCCCCAGCAATTCAATCACAACTGGATCCCACCTCCTAGAGGCTGGAGCCCACTGCGAATCCACAGCCCAGCCTTTCTGTCCCATCAGCCAACACGGGTTTCAGCTACTGACCAAGAGGGACATCAGAAACGGTCACAGACATCTCAGAGGCTCTGAAGGAGCAGGAGCACAGAGACTCAACTATACAGGGTGCAAGAGTCCAGAGCCAGAAAGCAGCGCCCTGGGAAGAAGCTGAAGGCAGCTGTTGTGTTGTGCATGGGCTGCTCATCTGGCTGGTGGCTGGGAAAGGACCGGGTGAGCCAGGGTGACATTCAGGGAGTCATTGTGCTGCACCAGGGACGTGTGCTTGTAGTGCAAGACCAGGTCCTTGAGGGAGGCGTAGAGGTTGTAGGGTTCAGCAAACCCATAGCCTGTGGCCGTCTTGTAGATCACGCAGTGCTTGGTGTCACCATCCACCCTGCCAGGGAGACACGGGAGCCTGGGTCAGCAGTGGGACAGGGGAGCACAAACAGGGCCACAAAAGCAGTGTAAACAACAGGCCCTGGCTGGAGGCAGAGGGGGGCTGTCACCTCCAGCATCTGGCAAGGGGAGGGTGGAACAATGTAGGAACACAACCAGCCCCATCCCATCCCATCCCATCCCATCCCAACCCATCCCATGGATCCCATCCCATCCCGTGGATCCCATACCATCTCATCCCATGGATCCCACACCATCTCATGGATCCCATCCCATCCCATCCCATCCCATCAATCTCATCCTATCCCATGGATCCCATCCCACCCCACCCCACCCCACCTGCACAGGGATACTCACACCACAGAGCAGGCATAGCACCCCTTCTGGCTGCTCTCACGGATCAGGAAGGTGCCGTCCCGTTTCCCACACAGCATCTCCTCTGCCTGCACACGGTTGATCTTCCCCACGTACCACGTCCTCTCCTCGTGGTGGGGCAGCTCCTCCTCATCATCCATCATGGAGTATTGACTGCAATCGAGCACAGGCAGGGTCAGATTCCCTAAATTTGGGTGTGTGGCCCCCACATCTCCCCACACTGCTAGCTGCCATCGCCCTCTGGCAGGGAAGGCATCCTCAGCCTCCAGGCAGGGAGCTGGGATTTGCCCACAGCACGGGCAGAACCCGCTGCACAGCCTGTGCTCCCGCATCCCCCAAATCCAACAGCACACGAGCAGGACACTCACTCCTCTGTCTCGTTCTTGATGCCCAGCCACTCGTTGATCTTCTTCTGCCGGGCACCCTTCTGCGTCAGCCACCTGGGGGAGGAGGGCAGAGCTCTGAGCGCGGCTGCAGCGAGCCCCAGGCGCGGCCGTCACCAGAGGGCAGCAGCCGCCGCTGCCGGGGAGCGCCGAGCCCCGAGGCCGCGCTGCGGGAGCGGCTCCAGCCCACAGCGGGCTGCGAGCCGGCCCAACGAGCCCCGGAGCCCCGGGGGAGGCGGGCGGATGGCTCCCGGGAAGCGCTGCAGGGGCACTACGTACACCAAGTACTGGTCCCGCAGCTTGCGCAGCTGCATCAGGTCTGGCTTGAGGCTGTTCATGCGCTTGTCGATCTCCCGGTTCTCCGAGGCTTGTTTCTTCAGGTCCTGCTCCAGCTTCATCTTGCTGTCGTGGATCTCTGTGATGCGGGACTTGAGCTTCTCTGAGTTCATGAGGATCCTGGGAGAGAGAGAGGGGGGTTTGGGCTGTGAGCCAGAGTGGGGGAGGTGGAGGAGGCAGCCTGCCAGCTCCAGCCCACAGCACGCTGCTGGAGAGACAAGGAGTCCACGTGCCTCGGCTCTGTGCTGAGCCAGGAGGATCCTTGCAGCCCCTGGGGCCCTTCTCCAGGCAGGGCAGGCCACCACCACCCCCATCCTCACCGTTGCACCTCCTTCTCGTTGCCCTCCCTCCGGAAGCGCTCAATGTACTCCTTGCTGCACTTCTCCTGTGTCTGACACTGCTCCTCAAAGATCTTGATCGTCTCATTGAAGGCCTCGATTGCCGTCCTCTTCATCTGCAGCTCCTGGAGACAAGGGAGGGAAAAGCTGAGGAACATTTCTGCACATTTGCAT